TGTGTTTTTTGACCAGACCCCCCCTGGGGGGGGGGGGGGGGTACAGGAATTTTTTCAAAAAAAAAAATCTTTTTCAGAATTCTTCACAACATATATAAATCGACTCAGTTTTTAACGCTGATTCCGAATCTGATATTAGTTTTGAACCAAATCATAGTTTTGTATACTCAAAAAGTGAGTAGACTATAGAATAGTCAGTGTATCCGTCCATCCGATTGGCTGTTTGCATAATAACTTTTGACAGCAGAGTGAGATTGTGATGAAACTTTCTACACAGCTTAGTCTTGACAATAGCTCGGTCAAGTTCGAAGATGAGAAAGACCGGTCGAGCCGTTCCTGAGTTATTGCTAAAATACCCGTTTTTTTCCTTATAGATTTCTGTGGAAAAATGGACCCAACGCGACTTTCGTAATAGACTTTTCCTATCATAGTCAATTAAAACCCCAACTATTATATACCATTCGATAGAAAATTTCAAGTACTACAAAATGATATATAAAACACAAAGAACCAAGAACGTTGACTAACCTATCACAAAGATAATTAAAGATAACTAGGTTAGATTTTGGTCCACAATCTAATTGATCCCTAAATAGAGTTTTATCTTCCAATTACCCTGATGATATATCGGGGTTTTCAGGTATGGAGAACTCAGATGTGTACTGCACTTCCATCGGAATACTATTAGTTGTTTGGTGACCAATAGAAATGAAGTTCTAGGAAAAACGACTTTCTTCGAGTAAATCAAGGTGCAGAGTTCAAACTTGAGCTTAGTTTGGTCCCATATCCTATTGGTTTGGCGACGCAGAATACAAATCAAGATTTTAAATGGTAGATTTTACAGTATAAATTTGATATATTCGATAGTCTAGGATGATTGATTTGTATGATTCACTTTTTGAAGTACACATAACTCTCGGATTTAAATCCGAAGTTTCCGCATTTATTTTTTAATTTTTTTTTGCAAAATTGATCAATATAAATATATTGTAGTAGGTCAAATCTGGTTTATATATCGTATGTAAAATAAATTTATTTTCTGTTTTAATCAAAAACTTATATGAATAAGATGTTGAAAACAAAAAATAATACGCAATTAATGATACTCTCAGAAAAATATAGAATGTTCATTGAAAAAATATTTAGGTTTTTCTATTCAAAATACATAAATAAGTAAGATTAATATTTAATCTATCAATAGATTATATTCGAATATAATTTTAATCTATGAAACGACTTTAGAAGTTCTATCAATCATAATATTAACTTATATAGAAACAGATTGAACAAACGATTAAAATTCGTTGATCAAACTCGAAAATGAATAAATTTATATATTATTACACTTTTTAATCTTAGAAAAATAAGTTTTATTTTCTAATATAAAACAAAAGTGTTCTACTTAATTGAAATCTTCTATTAATTATGTTCTACATATTAAGTTTACTTCTATTAGTCAACCATAACTACTTTGATGCCTAATGAAGACTTGGTATAATAAGTATAGTCGATATACTCATGGTTTTGTATTGAATTAACAGTTTTTAAAAGAGAAGATTTCAGTTAAGTGACATAAAATGCCCATATGTTCGATTGCGGTCAAATTACGACGCAGTTGCGCCGCAACTGCGATCGCACTGTGACCCGCAATTGCGAAAAACTGCGACGCAGTTACGCGTAACTGCGATAAAAAAATCACAGCTGTGCGTAACTGCGTTGAAAAAATTACAGTTACGCACAACTGTGATAAAAAATGTTGCAATTGGAGGAAATTCCGGGTCAGTTTCTATATTATTCATTACTATTGATGACCGTTTACAAGACCAAAATAGTTAGTTAGATGAGTATTAGCTTTTCTTTTTCATTTATTATACAATCACACTCAAGTACATCATATACAAAGCTTTCAAGAAAATTATTTTATATGAAAGAATCAGTACAAAATCTATAGATTAACACTTATTTTCAAACAAAAGTGTAGATAAAAATAAAAAGTTGTTCAGTGAAGTAACATTTCATTAAAGCCTATACATAAAATAAAAGCAGAACAACTGATTTTCGGAATAAGTTATCACGAACTGCTTTTCTTACAGAAAAAAAATACTTAATGATATCAACTCTAATATAACTGAAACTTCAAAATGATTACAATTTCTTTTTGTTTAATAATAACATTGAAATTTGAGAAAAATCTCTTATTTCCAAAAATTTTCCTTTCCGAAAAGGTTTTCAAAAAAGCTAAAATCGTTTTGTCAAAATCAATCCAGTATTTTCTTTGAATTTTGGGAAAAAAAGGTTAAAAAAATTAACAAAAATCTAAATATTCCTTAAAATAATTGTAAAAAATTTTTTTAATTATTTAATATTTTTTCAAAATAATTTTAAAAAATTTGCTAATTATTAAAACTTTTTTTCAAAATAATTTTAAAAAATTTCCAACGACAACATTTTATCGTATAACTGAGCATAAAATTTGGAGAAACCGATTTCAGATTCGGATTCCTTGACCCTGAAACCTTTTAGTCAAGTCTTACAAATTTTTTTTCTTGAAAAATCTCAACTCGAACTTTGGAAATTTCATCGTCCTTACCTTGACAATTTGAGTGAATAAATGAAGCGTCCTGATAGTGGAAGAAGAAATAGATGACCTTGTATGACGGATAGACGTTCTTATATACTCACTCGACTGTTATTATGGATGTTTGAAAATCGTCGAATTGGAAAATTAAGATATCTATTTATGATTGGCTATATTTTTCAGCAACCGGGAGAATAGTGCTACCATAGTAGACTGCGATCAGTGCGTCGCAGATGCGACCACAGATGCGTCGCAGCCGAGAAAGTCTATTCCTCTAACCTTGATTGCGATCATTGCGACGCATTTGTGCGCAACTGCGTCGCAAAATGTCTATTACGCGTAACTGCGAGGCAGTTGTTAAAAAAGTAGAGACATGGGTAGTTCGATATTATAATGATCTAATATGTCTTCTTATCTAAGTAATGTACTATTATCTTTTGTTTTTAATCGATAATAGGTCTATCAAGAAATGAAGTATTACATGAAATGCTCTTGTTCCTGGTTGCTGATTTTGAAACAGATGCAACTTCTCTAGCTTGCTTCATTCATTTGATAAGTAACTATCCTCATGTACAACAGAAGATTAAACCCGAATTGATGAATAACAATGCTCAACGAGATTTATCTATAGAAAAACTTAATTCACTAATCTATCTCGATTGTGTTATTAAAAAAGTATTTCGTTATTCTCCACCCTTTACTGGAACATATCGTAAATTAACAACTGATGATTATTTACCAACAAGTGGTATTCAACTATTCAAAGATGATCAAATATTTATTCCAATTTATAATCTTGCAGTTGACACTAAATTATGGTCAATTGATCCAAATAAATTCTATTCAGAAAGATTTTTAGATCATAAGCTCGACAAAATCATCATCCATATACATGGATTCCATTTGGTACTGGTCATCGGCAATGTCTTGGACAAGATTTAGCTAAATTTGAATTAAAACTAGTTGCAGCAAGATTAATGTAATATATCACATTTGATGACGATAATTCTGATATAAACGCAGGTGGACATTTAACTAGTGTTACTATCAAATCTCGATATGTTGGAGTGACAATTAGTTTTTATTGATGAATTCACACTTAGTTTGCATCCTTTATCGATTATTTCTGTACTGATGCTAAAGAAAAAACCACGCTCTATCACTAATATAAAATTGATTTCATGTATTTATATTCTATTATGTTCGTATTATCTATAGTTGAACAAATGAAATTTTCATCTAATGTGAAACAAAAATGGAACGAAAAAAATTGTGACACTATGAAACAAAAGATTACGTTTAATGAATTAAAGAAAAATATTCTAGGCCACATTTATGGCACAGATAGAAATAGTAGAGAAGCTCTCACTATGAATTTTACCAGCTAGACAAAAGCCTGGAAAGAGATGGAAAAAACTTTACATAACAGTGCGTCCTAGCACAAGATTGTTTCAGAGCGTAAACCCGAGATACGTGATTTTAAGAAGTCGCTTCATCGTTTATGATATTATTCAGAAATAGATGTATACATGCAGACACAAGTGAATATTTTTTTCGGAACTCATCTTACTACCGGAAAAAATTGCTTTTCAGTTATTATCCACTTCACTTCATTGAAACTACGAATTGTGACAAAAATCCAAGAGAGAAACAATGACCTAATGCGGAGATTTCACACAAATCTTGAAAAGTCTAACGGATAGAATGAACAATGAAAATAATGTCATTTTCCACACTCTAAATACCCAAAACTAGACAAGCATGAGTTTTTGCCTTTTATTTCAAAAATATACTTAAGAATGGTCGAAACTAATTGTACCTTTCCTTTTCATAACAGACAGCTAATCTAATAACTAAATTGATCAATGATCGACGCTGACTATAATGTTGCACATAACATCTTCTATTTCTTCAGGAGGAACTATTCAATAGCATGGCAAATGATGATGTTCAAAATGTTTATTGTATGTGACTTTATCTGTATAATAAATACGAACCACATCACTGTTTTATCTAGCAATTTATTCAAAATTTTGCGCTAGAAATTAAAGTGACATTGCAATCGAACGATTTCATTGACCGATTAGTGGCATTTTCAATCATGTTTCTAATGAATAACAATTTCTTATCTAGTTAGTATCTACATATGCTATTCTTCCTTGAACTAATGTACGAGTTTTTCGTCCAGTAGACATAAGATTGAGTCATTTCTTGTTAATAACAGTATACTCTGTTTATTCTTCATATTCTATACATGTAATTAATTAATGTTATTCAGCTCTCTCATTCAAAGAAATATATTCTGTGGCAATCTACTCAATTTCTTCTCTTTAAATATATATCCCCAATAACTTCAGCCATATTACTTAGCAATGATTGTGTAAAGTTGTGAATGAAAATGAAACAATCCACGGTACACATTCAAATAAAAAAAAATAAAAAAAGGATCAATCCAAACACACGTGACGCATACTACAGAAGGAGAAAAAAACAGCCAAGATAATACAAAAAGAAAGCATGTACGCTATATTGATGATTGAGTATTTCTACGAATTTAATTCTATCTCTAAAATTTTCGGCGATAATCTTATCAATCAAAATGATGCCAATTGCTCTAGATCCAGTTTTTTACGGGCTTTAATCTGGTATAAAATTCATAAGGTATTCAACTTAAAATCATCGTGCTACCCTCTAGCAAAACGTTATGCACAACTCGGTACTGTTAGAATTTTTGTCAAAATTATTATCCTTTCATATGGATGTTGTTAATGAAAGTACAATTGCTGTAACTGATAATCAAATGAAT